CGAATTGTCAGGGTTATCGCCAACTTTGGGCGAAGGAAGATGGATTAGTGTCTCAACAGAGTTCAGTGGGTGATTGTGGTAGCTAGTGCTAGCAGGGCGCGAAGGTATGTCCCTGATATGAAGGGATAGTGTCATCGGGTGATACGTGGGTGGTACGTGGTGCTATTGAGTTGAAAGGCCAATGGTCGGCTTGGAATAGTGGAAAGGATGCCACGCGAGAAGAAGTCGTTAGAAGAGAGATGCGGTAATAGGGTTTGCAAGAACCTGAGTTAAATGAGAAATTGGAGTCTGCAGTACAAGGGGTTTGTTCTGAAGCGTATATTGCAGTAGGCTTCGAGGACGAAGCCTAATTTAAGTGGGGGGGGGGGGAATTGTAACATCCCAAGTTCGGAAGCAAGAAGTTGGAGGGTGCAAAGTGTAAATTTAGGAAAGGGACTCGACGAGTAGGTCCGTCTACTCACCGAGTCGGAGCGGGATTCTATCAGAGTTTAAGTGGCCAACTCGGCGAGTCGGAGACTTGGACTCGACGAGTTGGTGTTGTAGGAAGAAAACCCTAATCCCGAGGGTTGCACCCTATTTAAAGGACTTTATGTCCTTCTCCCAGCCTCCTAATCCCCCTGAGAGTTCCAGAAACCCTAATTTTCGTGTGAGGCTTCATTATTGAGGAGATTGGAGCTTGGAAGAGGAAATTGGTGAAAAGAGCTTGAGGAATTAAAGGCTAACATCAAGGGGCTTGTGTGGATCTGGGATCTACATCTGTTTGGGCACATCTCAGAGGTAAGAAGCCTTTATCCTAAGCTATTTCCTTTTTAGATTCATCCATGGTGGTTGATTTGGGGTCCCTTAGCTTGTTTGAGATCTATGTCGGGTTTAGAGGCTAGATTTTAGGTTGCAACTTCGGATCTAGGTTAGTTTTCAGCTATGAGAGCATAAAGCATCATCCTTTAGGTTTGTTTGAAAGGATCCTTGTCTCAAACCCAAGCCCTAGAGTGATTTAGACCTTTAAACCCTTGGTTTCACTTAAAGTTTGCAACTTTATGTGAGGGTTAGATTGTAGAAGGGTGGATCTATGGATTGGAGCCCCTACATGGCTCGAAAAGCCTCTGAATGGATTGAGAACTGAAGAGACTCGGCGAGTCACATGGGTGTACTCTACGAGTTGTATGAACATGTGCATGAACTCGGCGAGTTGAAGAACAACTCGGCGAGTCTGTTGAAGATTGCCTTGGACTCGGCGAGTCTGTTCTTGGACTCGGCGAGTCTGGTCGCAGAACCTAACCTCTTGTGGTTAAAGCTTTGGATTAGTGAGTCGGTTGGCGACTCAGTGAGTTGGACAGTATGGGACTCGGAGATCGTTGGACTCGACGAGTCTTGGGGCGACTCGGCGAGTTGAGTCGTGTTATGGGAGTTTCTGGGTATAGGAACTCGACGAGTCGACGGGTCGACTCGGCGAGTAGAATCAACCAGGAAGGTTGACTTTGACTGAGGACTTTGACTTTGACCAAGAGTTGACCAGTTTGACTTCCAAGGGTATTTTGGTAATTCTGGTATTAATGGAATTGGTTCTTTGGTAGTGTTCTGTGGTGAAGATCGTGTCGGTGGTCGGAGCAACTTGGTTTTATCTTTTCAGTCGGCAATTGCAGGTGAGTTATCCTCACTATATCGACAGGGTCTACGGCACCAAGGCCGGCCCTTTATCGGATGGAAATCCGGGTATTGTTTGTTATGTTATTGCTTTGCTAGATTTGCATCCTGGTATTTAGGATGTTGTTATGTTAGTGACCCGGTTAAGGTCGATACCCGGGATATAGGGTAATGTTATGCTAGTGACCGGTTAGGTCGGAATCCTGGTTAGGATGTTGATATGCTATGTGATCTGTTAGACTGATAGTTTGGTTAAGGATTTGTTATGTGATTAGTTGTTTTATGTGCACATGGTTGTTTGACGGGGGTTGGGTTGAGGCGGGTCCTGCTTTGTGCTGTAGGCCAACATACCCAGGGCGGACCGGATATTCTGAAGGCCCAGCGAGCGGTCCGGATAGGCTGAAGGCCCGAGAGGGCGGACCATACGCGCCGAGGCTCGGAGAGTGGACCAGGCCGACTGAAGGCCCGGTGTGGGCGGACCAGTCATACTGTAGACTCAAAGAGTGGACCAGGTGGATTGAAGGCCCGGTGCGGGCGGACCAATCACACTATAGACTCGATGTACATGGCTAGACTCGGAGGGTGGACCAGGTGGACTGAAGGCCCGGTGCGGGCGGACCAGTCACATCGTAGACCTGATGTGCATGGTTGTTCTATTTGTGATATGTTATGAGTATGATTATGTGTGGTTGGTATTTTGGGGGTAACTCACTAAGCTTTCGGGCTTACAGTTGTAGTTTTATGTTTCAGGTACTTCAGGAGATCGTGGCAAGGCGAAGGCGTGATCGTACTGCTCCTCATGTTTTATGATTTGTGTGATATGGTTCTGGGGGATACTCTGATCTTTAAACTATTTTGAAAACGAGATGTATGAACTTAATGGTCTTTGAATGAATTAAAATGTTTTAAATTGGCTCAATTTTTATGGGTGTTACAATTTAGCAGTCAGCTTGTGAGGTGAGTCTCCTCACTGTTTGTATGGGTCTACGACCACAATGCCGACCCGTTTAGTTTATGTAAGGTAGGAAGACCCGGGGGTTAGCCCTAGGCATTATGCATGAAAGACCAGGAGGAGGCTCCTGGCACACTATATGATATTATGTATGGTAGGAAGACCCGGAGGTTAGCCCTAGGCATTATGCATGAAAGACCAGGAGGTGGCTCCTGGCACACTGTATGCTGATTAGCCAAGTATAGTAGTATGTATGCTAGTTGTCTTTGTGATGTTTGCATGGAAGACCAGGAGGTGGCTCTTGGCACTTCTCTGTAAGACCCAGGGGGTGGCCCCCGGCTTGGCAAGAAAGACCACGTGGCGGCCCGTGGCATAATGGCAATACTATGTGCGGCACATAGCACCTTATTCGATTATGATATATGTATGGCTCATGGTTATGTATGGCATGTATGGATCAGTTGATATGTATGGAATGTGGTATCTGGGGAACTCACTAAGCTTCATGCTTACGACTTTCAGCTTTTGTTTCAGGTACTTATGTTTCAAATGAAGGAGCCTGGGGCGATCGCAGCGCATCACACTATGTTTTCCGCATATGAGATCTTTGGGATTATACTATGATATTATTTTATGATGACATGTTTTGATTATTGACACACTGGTTTTGACATTGGATAATATTATGGATGTTTTTATACTATTGGTTTTTATAACAACTTATTTAAATCTGAAACTTTTGGTCTGAAATTTTGGGATGTTACACTTTGGGCGCTCCGGGGCTTTCCTCCAGCACCTTAAGGTTACTAGGGCTTTAGGAGGGTTTTGGGAGGCTTAGAGAGAAGTGAAGGGGTTTTGGTGTGAGAAGTGAAGACAGTCTCGCATGCTATTTATAGGCTGAATTTTGGACCTACTCGTCGAGTTTTGGCCTCCAACTCGTCGAGTTGGTGCCACATGTCACCCTCTGGTGGCAAGGCTTGGGGAGAAAGCAATGGTTCAGATTAAGTCACGTCACCCCTTTCGCATCAGCACCGTTCTGACTTCTAAATTCCGTAACTTTCGCATACGAGCTCCGTTTTCGACGTTCTTTATATCCACGCGTACGTTGAGACTTACTCTACAACTTTCGTTTAGACTCCGTTGGCTAATTCTCAACCGATTTTAAATTTAACAGTATGAGAAGATTACACGGTTAACGACCGTGTAAAATTCATAACTTCTACATACGGACTCCGTTTTCGACTGTCTTTTTATCGTTGAGCTCCTATTAATGAGATCTTCAATTCTCATTTAGGTTGTGTCGGCTAAAAATCGATTGATCTAAAATTCGAATTCCAGACTGTGCATTGCTATGCTAAATCTTAGAAAAATCATAACTTCCTCATACGAAGTCAGATTTGGACGTTCTTTTTATGCACGTTCTCGTTTTAACGTATACTACGACTTTCGTTTAGATTGCTAAGGCTAAAAAGTAATTTATCAAAAATTCACTTTTTACGTTACGCGGTGTCGTGCCGGTTTTGCCGTAAAACTTTGATGAGTCATAACTTCTTCGTTATAACTCGGATTTCAGCGTTCTTTATATGTACGGAACTCTTGTGAAATATATTATAACTTGGTTAAGATTATTCCTTCTAAATAATGTTCCGTTAAAAAGTCATTTTTGACGCTCATTATCTCTAAATTGACTAGTCCGAATCTGCGGACGTTACATTATGATATCACCATACACCCCGGATAAATAGAAAATCAATAAACAAACTATTGCGATGAAATATGATCGAAACTGTGGCCAAATTGGGAGTTTTCCTTTTTTGTGGTCGGGGGCATCAAGTCATGTGATTGGGGCGGGGGGTTCCGAGACACGATCCATGAAAAGTGTGTTTTAGTATTGATTTTCTTTAGAGGGTCTTATAGGTCTCTAGTACTTGTCTAAGGTGTACCAGAGTGTTACTTAGACTTTTGATGTCATATGTTATCTAAGATGGTAGATGTGAGCTTATAACCGGTTATACCTATGTTGATGAATGCAAGGTCGTTTAGCTTTTCAAGTGGTAGGAGAGCGCTACGTGATGCTAATTACATAGACAAGATGAGTTCATAGTTTTTAATGAGCACACATACCTAAAAACAAAATGTTTTATGTTGTGTGAGTTATGTGTTACTATAATTAGTGTGTTTGTATTTGTATTAGTATAGTATATATTATGGTTGTACTGTGTTGTTCATAATAGAAGTCATGATCAAATTCAAACCTAGCTCTTGTGTATTTTCCAAATGCATAAGACGTTGTATCAACTAACTAATGAAGTTTTGGCATTCTTCATTGTTTTATGAAAACAATCTTTGAATCACTGTGTATTAATAATATGACAAGGGGGAGAGGAAACCATACGCATGTAACAAGATCTGAAATTAAGAACAATGCCATTTACAACTTTGTATTGAACAGCTTAACATCTTCTTCTATGCAAGTACCAAATCCTAACTTGTTACAAATCTGCCCTTGTTTATTTTTTTTTTTCCTTCCATTTCCCCAAGTCTGCCATCAATTTGTCAAATATTTTTTTACTTAAACAGGGCCTTACTCATTCATTGACAAATGATTTGATTAAGCTGTAAACACAGATTATAAAGTAACCACATTGAAGTTTGTATATTTAACTTGTGTCGGGTTCCAACTTTGGAACAATAGCAGATGATAGCTCTAAATGGGAAACACGAACAGCACCAATTAGTCTCTCTGGCAATTCGTCTATAGTGTTTGCCTGATAAATAAATAAATAAATAAACATCACAAGGTAAAAATCTATTGTCTTATAAGAAAGTAATATTTATTATATAATAAGAAAAAGATTATGAAAATAAGATGCTATAATAATTAATAAATAGGTTAGGCTAAAAAGCTATAGAAGAGTTGGAATTAAAGTAGAAGGTGAAAGGAGTTAAGAGACCTACCTGTACAAGGAAAGCCATGTCCACAACAAGGCTAGTGATGGCACCAACTACAAGACCCAATACACCATTAGCTACAGTAGAAGAACCAATATCAACATCAACCTGCCAACCACATTAAAAAACATTTGAACAAAGTTAGTTCTGTCCAGATTAAGTCAAAGAAACAACCATCCATAGCTTTCCAGTTTAAAGTGCTTAACCTACTAAGCTCATTAGGTCAAAAAAGAAACAGCCCCTTAGTCACTATTTCATTTTGACTTAATGCATTGATTAGGCAAGAAGAGAAGAGAGAAAAGGAGGTATGATTTACTTCTAAGTAATTGGCACCACGGATATAGTTACAGTCAACTGCTTTTCCAAGTAAGCAAGGTGTGCTTCCAACACTCTGTCGTACAATCCAGGAGCCCTATAAGTATTAACATGATGTCAAAAGATAAGTCAAAAACTATATAGTATCATGGTCAAACTTAAGTCAAATACCTTGGGGACTGATGGTATGAGCTTCATCCTACTATTACGAAACTCATCATCACCATCAACAAAACGTTGCACAAGAGATCCAGGTACTAATTCCTTGCTCACAAAATAGAAAACCATGCTGTAGTTTGTGGAACCAGGTACCTTCAACAGTCAACAGTAGAAAGACTCTTATTTCTTCCCTACATAATACATAATACATAATACATAATACATAATACATAACATTACAAACAACATGATTACTTACTTGGAGATTGAACACCATGGAAAAATGCCCTTTTTCAGCAGCAACCTATACAGAAATAAGTATATAAACATGTTAGAATAAAGAACCTGTAGAATTAACAACTTCACAAATCATAACTACTTACTTGTGCTGCACAACCTGGGCGTCTAGCAACATGGTCCATTCTTTTGGTGTCTTTAAACCAGTCAACAGCAACAAGATCCATAAGATGTTTTCCCCCAGGCATCTTTAGATTAGATTTAGAAAGGGAAAAGTTAAGACTTAAGACTTAAGAGGAAGAAAAAAGATATACAAAAATTGTGATACAAACCTTTGATTTATCATAGCAAAAACGCTTACTACGCACCCTAAAGTTGTTCCCATCAGATATTCTCCAACAATCACGCCCACTTTCATTGTCATTTCGCCTAAGGTTGCCCGAAAAGCACGACAAGTCCATTTCAACAATAGCTTCTTCTTCAACAACTTCTTTAACACATGGATCCATCATATCAGCTAAAAAAAAAACAAAACACTTTCTAACAATATATTAATGAATACTTTCTAACCTGCCCTTTTCATCTCCTGCTCAACACGATATGCCTGAAAACATTTTATATCCAGATAGATGTTGGTATTTGGTCTTCCAGTGAAGAAAACATTGTAATATAAATTAAATAAGCCTTATTCCTAAGTCCTAACCTCTTCATCAGGGATTTGGAAGTCTTCATCTTCATCTGAGTACTCATCCATCATTTTTGCAGCATTATCTAGGGACTGATTTCGATCATGAATGGAAGTCATCTGGTTTTTATGTGTCTCCTTTGAGGGAACATTACATGATGCCATATTAACCATAACTGGAATTCTTGGAGGAACAGTCCTTCCATCTGTTTGAGCAAAATATTCCCGAAGTCCAGCAACACTATTTAACATTTGTAGCAAACAATGCTGCTGAAATGATGACACATAACCCACACCCCATCCCTTCAGATCAATCTGCATAAGATGCTGAACCTGTGTTCTTGGCCTCCCATTTCGAGCTTTCAATGGAGAAATATTAAACCCTCCACCTAAATCAAGCTCACATACAAACACATAATAGTAAGCATTACATAATATTACATAAATCATATGCTAAGAGAAAAAGCCTCTAAGAAGAGTTTCAATGAAGGGAAAATTTTACTCTCAATATGAGCCCGAACATATCCTGGTTGTGGACCACAGTTTTCATGCTCCCTTGAGCAAAACAGCACAACTGCAAGATGACAAAAACATACATATATCTAAATATGATAAGAGAAGCAGCAAGGGTAAAATGGTAAATGCATTCACTCACCATAACTTCCATCATCGTTTCGGCGCCAATATCGCACATAACAAAGGTCACGTGGCCATACAAACCTGAAATATCAATTTCAATTATACAAATCTGTTAAAAGTATGAGAAAGCTTTCTGTTTCTTTATATAACCAAGAAAAATAGTAATAATAAAATAAAAACAATAAAAGTATTACGTTGGGAACCAATCGAGCTGAAGCCTGTGATAAAGAATAGCTGTATGTCCATCCACCTCCTCAACTAGGCTACCATCTTGGAAACTACAGTCCCACCTGCATATGTTTAATGAACAAAAATATATCATGCTATGGAGAGAAGATAATTATATAAAAAAAGGAACACTAAAGCATAAATGAATTTTCAACAAAACTCACTCAGAACGTGTTCCATCCATACTCATTATAAGCTCAAATACTTCTTCACAACTGGCTTCCACAACACCAGAAGCCTTCATAGCCCTACTACAGCTCTTTGGCTGCATAAAAAAATAACATGAATTTTTTTTCCTATTACAGTGTTGTAATTATGTAAATGCAAGAACAGAGATATAAGCAGATAATCCTTACAAGAAAATCAACTTCAAGAAGCTCTTCAAAGATACGAAGTCCTGGAAATTTTAACAAGAGAAATCCCATTAATACCCTTTAGTCCATTAGTTCAAGTAACAGAGTAGTTAATAAGACTATGTTACCATTCTGGCATTGAAGAAGCCTCCAGTGTTTCCTAGAAATTGCTTGATTAGTTGCATTTTGGCTTGCTAATGTAGAACTTTCTTGAGTCCAATCCAATATAGATTCAGGAGGACCTGCTAATGCCAGATAAAGGAGCTATAGAAAAGGTAGAAAAGCATGCAAAAGAGTGATTAAACAAATGAAGAAACCAATTATACCATTTCCAATTGTTGTTCTTCGAAGTAAACTTGGATTTGAATCATCTTCATCTTCAGCAGCACTATACCTACAAACCAGGAACAGCTAAAACTATACTTAAAGAAACACGAGATAATGGCTATAAAGTGTATAGATGTGTAATATTAACAATCAAATGCAGAATACATGTGAAGTTTACTTACTGACTTTCCTGATCTGATGAGGAAGCATTTCTTCCACTATCCATTCCAGATTTATATTCAAAAGACTGATATTTATTCCCATTAGCAGCTAGGGACTCCTGATGCTTCAAGTCATTTAAAAGTCAAAGATGTATGTGATCAGTAGGTGGAAATGACAAGACTTGATCATACATACATGTCAAAGTTTTTCTTGAGATAAAATGAACATTAAAACAATAGCTAGCAAAGATCTGGTTATACCAATAATATGAGTTTGTAAGAAAAGATCTGGTTATACCAATAATATGAGTTTGTAAGAAAAGATACCTGATCGATAACAGATTCTATTTTTTCTTTCCAGATAAGTGCCTCTTGGATGTTAAAAGCTGCCATCTATATACAAAAGAGACAATTTATTCAACACCAAACAGTTGCAAATTAAAAATGGTTCCTTTTCCTTATACATAAAGAAGAAAGGAGAAAAAGATCACATACAGTCATCCGATGGTATTTCTCTTTCTTGTTGTATATAAGCAAAACATACACCATCTGTTCCCCCAAAAAACAAGTGAAGTAAAATTAGCACAATATGCCAACAACAGGAAGCAAACTACTTCATGCTCCATTACTGAAAAGACAACACTACAACATGGCATAATCCTTCTAAACTAGCAATACAACCAAGCTTCAGAAACAAGACATGTGTCCTATATGCTCCAAGATATTTAAGTTCCAATCCACATATCAACACATACATTAAAAAGGTGGATTAAAAGAAACTTACAAGTCCTTGTTGGGTTTTTAAGCCTCGGTCCTCCACTCTACAGTTGCCATCGATAACCAATGTCTTGATTGGAACCTAATGAAACCCACAGTCAAATGTAATACAACAAGTATAAATACATTTCATCTGCCCCAACAGGTAATGCTTCCAACCAAAATTCACTACGATTTATGAAACGCAAAATCCTGATTACTGAAGAAACAACAAACACAAATGCAAAATTGTAAAGCATACAGCATAGTGCATGCATTCGGTAATCCAGTTCAACTTCACTGTTGATTCTTACCACATTATCTTGAGGCTTCCTCTTGTAATAAGCAAGCAATCTCGATTCCAGCACAAAATACCGCATATGTATAAAAGATCTCCCGATTTTCCTCCTCCCATACCGCACCATCCACCCTTCATACACTACTTTCGAATTCGACATCTTAATCTGCGTTTCTGATCCTCAATTATCAATAACCACTAGTCATTGCCTTAAACCCTTCACCCCAAAACTTAATCAATCACTATACGTAACGTAATCATTTAAACCCATAAACCTAAACCCCACACTCCAAAAACTCAAGAATATATCTCTTCAAAATCCAATCAACATCGTCGATCTGATGAACCTAGATATTCCGGTCAAACTACGACATAAGTCAAAATCGGCCTGCAAGGTTGGGTGAAATTGACAAAATATTTGACGTTACTATTCGGTGGCTGACGTATAGGAACAAATAATTCGTATGTATGTGTGTGTGTGTTGGAGTGTGTGTAACTTAAAGGAGACGAAAACATACGATCAGTCTTTACTGTTCACGGCAGTTGATGATGTCGGCCTGCAAGCAGTATGTAGTGTGGGGAATATGAGAGAGAGAGGGTCAGACAATGGGATTATCAAATGGAAAACATCATAAATAGTCGTTCCCAAAATCTGAAGTTTAGTCTCCCTGGTTTAAAAACGTCATAAATGGTCCCTGTGCTTTCAAAACTTTTGACGATTGGTCCTTATTGCTAACTCCGTTAACTTTTGTCCGTTAACTGAACGGTATTTTCGTCATTTCACTACCACAATGACCATTTATGATGTTTTCTTGTATTTAAAAAAATAAACAGAAGGAAAGAAAACGCGCGCGTCTCTCTCTCTCGCGCTCGCTCTCTCTCTCTCTCTCTCTCTCTCTCTCTCTCTCTCTCTCTCTCTCTCTCTCTCTCTCTCTCTCTCTCTCTCTCTCTCTCTCTCTCTCTCGTCATCACCTAGATACATCACCTCATTTCCCTTCCCCAATTTCTATTTCCATTTTAGATCTGCAGGTGGCCATCTCGTTCTCTGCCCCTTCTTCTCAACCTGCAATTAAAGGAAAAACACACAAACACACCCACAAAAATGCACTTGAAAAAAGAAGAAGAGAGTTAGAAGAAAGGGAAGAAAAAAGAAAAAGAAAGCAAACCTCGACTTCCATGGCACTGAATCCGAACCCAGAATCACCTTCAACAGCAACCACAAGCCGATCAGGCGAAGCTATTGCTGCTGCAATACAATACCCTAAACCAACACCCATTGTCCCCCATGTTCCTGCATCTAAACAGGTTCTGGGTTCCATTTGGCCCAAAACGGATCGACCCACATCCATGGTGTTAGCCCCCTTCTGAAACCAATATAGGAACAAGACTACCTAAACTAGCAATGGATTCTCTGATAATCCTCATTGGAATCAAGAAATCAACAGTAACATTAACATTTAAGGCTCAGATCTGTTATTTTGATCGGAAAAATGGGCCACACCGCCATGGCTGCAACAATGGTTGCCCCGCCAAGATACAGGATGAAATTTCACCATTTCCCCAATTTAATGCTCAGATCAACTACAAAAAACAAAATCATCACAGCCTCCTTATAACCAAATCCAATCTACAGGCGACAAATTATAAAAAGGAACATGAAAGTAGAATGATGAAAGAAAGCGAATAGAAAAGAGCCTGAATCGATCTGATCAAACTTTGGCACTAGCGGTGGCTGAATCGAATCACAAACCCTGCTCTATTTTCTGGTTCTAAATTTCTCCCCTCTCTCACTTGATTCTCTTTCTCACTCAGTAACCTGTACCAAGAAACCCACTAGCTCCCTTGAATAACTGTCGAGTGATCGAAAAATGATGGACATAAGGGAAGGGAGGTTGTTGGTGAATAGACACGAGAATATGAAGAATAGGGTGGGGGAGTCTAAAAGGGGTGTTTTTCCGAGAGAGAGAGAGAGAGAGAGAGAGAGAGAGAGAGAGAGACCTTTTGCATATTATTTTCTTTTTTTAAAAAATAAGAAAAAGCATCATAAATGGTCCCTATGGTAGTGAAATGACGAAAATACCCTTCAGTTAACGGATTTAGCAATAATGACCAATCGTCAAAAGTTTTGAAAGCACAGGGACCATCTATGACGTTTTTAAACCACGGGGACTAAACTTCAGATTTTGGAAAAACACAGGGACCATTTATGATGTTTTTTCTCATTTGAATTATCCAAATTTTAGTGATTTCCCTAAATAGAAAAAAATCTATTTAATTATTGGTTTAATATCAAAAGTCGTATTTTTATAGTATTTTTTTCCTCGCTAAAAACTTTTTTTTCTAAAAAAACCTTGTATTTTTTATTTGGCTCTTTTAGCATTTTTTTTTAAAAACCCCGTTAAATATTAATGGTTTTTTTGGAAAAAATAAATAAATAAAGGATTAAGAGTTTTTTCCGAAAAAAATATAAAAAAAGTGGAAGGTTCTTTTCAGAAAAAAGAATGTAAGGTCCTTTTTTGGATTTGAATTATCTAAATTTTAGTGATTTGCATAAATAGCAAAAAATATATTTAAATTTTTGTCAATATAAAACTATTAGTAAACAAAAGAAAAGGATATATGAAAAACTAATTATCATGGTTTTATAAGCTTTGTATAACTTCGTCATAAATTTTATCCGATGAACTTTTTATCATTAATGATTTGTGTGACAAGATAACATGAAATCAAATCGGTATTTGTTTTAGATACTTGTATTTAGAATATTATGTATATGTTTCATTAACTTAGGATGCCACTTAGAAAAAAGGTTGAAATTTTACAAACAATTATTTGTGTAACAAGATAACACGGAATCAAATAAGTATTTTATTTTTGTAGAAAAAGTAACGGCTTTTTGTCCATAAACTCCAATCATAATTTATACACAACATTAATTAAGATATAATTATGCTTCAACTATATACAATGTTAGAACTTTGAACCCTGATCTCCACACTAAAGTTCGCTACATGTAGGATGGCAACTTTCATGCACAATGGTGTTGGTGATTCACAGTCATTAATATTGAGCATACATTACGAAGGTCTTTTTGTTCCAAACCTCCTAACATATACATACCATACAATCTTAAATTTTAATCTTATTGATTTTGTGAATATGGACTACAATAACTTTGTTGGTTTTTTTCATGAAAGAATAAGTGATGGAATCCACAAGGTGTATTAATGTAATCCAAGCAAGCCATTGTGTAAAGGGGTTAAACTCTTGCACTGTTGTGATGTTATTGTGATTTCACAAAAGTTAGACATACTTAGCTACTAAGGTTGGTACATGTGGATTTTTCTCACTATAGGATATTTGGCAAAATAAATGATTTTATGATACAAAGTTTACTATGCAAATGATTATGAATATTTTCAAGTATGCCTATTTGGTATGAATGTTTAAATGATTTTGAATGACGACGTATGATATATGAATTCTTATGTGAACATGTAAAAGCTTATATTGTTATAGTTCTATGCAAGGTCATATGATTGTATTCAATATATTCAAGTTTATGTTTACACAAGAACATACCATGACTTTTGTGTGTGATTGACTTGTATAAAAGAAAAATGGTCTTCATAAATACATTGGGTGTGATGTACAAGCATAATGTATAAACACATGATATCCCAAATATGGGATAAGGACTTTCATGGGATCCTACATCGCTTCGTAAAGTAGAGGTCTAAGGGGGTTTTTGGCTTATCTTTTTGAGAGGCAAAAGTCATTTTTGGAAAAGATAAAATGTAAAAGATGTTTGGTAAAAGGATTTTAAAAGCTACTTTTGGATTTTTGATATAAGAAAAACTGACTTTTTGGAAAAGTCAGGAAAACCTGACATTTTGTAACTTTTCCAAAAAGGACTTTTGCCTCTAAAAAAGATAAGTCAAACACTTCCTAAGATACCTTCATAGGTTGATTTGTTCTCCATATATGGTAAGGATGATAAGGTGACACTATTTGAGTAATGCATATGTGCTCATATCGTTATACTATATAATTGATCGACTGTATATCAATACAGAGGTAAGATCGTATATCAATGCGGATGCATGATATGTGAATACACGTAAGGTTTCATTTGTATGTGAACATACATTGCATATCTAATATATTGCATGAAGTTTTTCTGGAATAAAAGTTTTTATCCGTTGTTTTGATAAACTTATTATGTCTAAACGCATGTAGCTAACGAGCTATTATTGTCTTACATATTATATGTTTATTTCATGCATCTCAGATCCAGTTCCAAAAATTTGAAGACTTGGTCATTTGGAAATAATATGTTGATCATAACTTGAAGAATGTTTTTTTTATAAGTAAGTCATTGTGGACTTAGTTTTTGTATTTATGTAACTTTATTATGATTGTGTAGTGATATGAAGTTGTAACATCCAAACTTGAATTATTATTATTGGACATTTTGTTACACCGCATTATTTAAAAAACTAATAAAAATGAGGTGGTACAGACAAGATCCTAAAAATTATCCTTCTATATATGACCCAACACTAAATTGGAATAAATTGACAAAAATAATTAGCATATACTAAATTGGAATGAAATGATAAAAATAATTAGCATGAGATTTGAAAATCAAATGGAATTGAAATACATGTTTGTTAATTATTAAGTTGTAAATGGATATGATCTTTGGTATGTATGAAAAAATGACTTTGATAATTTACAGGGGCGGATCCCTTTAGGGGCCAGGGGAGGCCATGGCCCCCCTGCTTTTTAACCTTTTCATACTTGTTTGTAAACATGCTAATGTATTCAGTTTACCTATAAGTAGAGAAACACTTTAGAATACCAATGAAAAAAGAAAAAAAAACTAGAACTTTTTTACAAAAACTAAAATTACTATTTTGAAGAAAAACTGATATTCCAATAAACTTTACTAGTACCTAAGCTTCCTAATTTGAAGGAAAACTTATCCATAAAGAATAAAGATTTAAATTTTCGACTATTTAATAACATGGGAAGAAGAAAAAAAACAAAAAAACCTTCAAAATGATTTTGAAAACCTTGCCCTTAACCATGGTGGCTGACACTCGTTTTCTCATCCTCTCCGTCACTGTGGGTTTCTTCTCCAGTTTGAACATCTTCTCGAGTCGCTGAATGCCGACGTCTTTGGGGTCTCATATCTCCAACCGCCTGTGAACCTTTCATCTCTTCCGCCTTGTAATTTGTAAATCCAGACAACTTCTTTCTTTTTGTATGATATTGTATAATAAAGAAGAGTCTATGATAGTGTGATATCGTGATGGTCACTGTATTTATTGTTTTTAGTACACTATGTTGCAGACTGTAAACTAGCTTTTGACTTTTTTACTAGATAATACCATATAAAAATAAATGCTTGTAGATTTGTTATTAGGAGACAACCTTTTGTTTTTATTTTTGTCGTAGATATTTTAATGCATCTACTTACTTTAGTAGTATAAAATTAGGTTTTGAGAAGACAAATAGTATGTTGGTAAAATTATATTTAGAAAAGTAAGACAAAAACTGAACATTTTTTTCCAAAAAGAAAATATGAAAAATTCTTTTAGATGAAACATAGTTCTTCATTAGCAGTTAATTTAGTTTTCGTAAAAAACGTAAAAAGAATCGACTCATAAACCAAAAGTATAAGTGTTACTGAAATCTAGTTTTTTTTTCCAAAAAGATACCCATCAAATTTTAGTTTCGATTTCGGCCCCCAATGTTAATGTCTGTGTTCCGCCCCTGATAATTTATATATATATTTATAACTTATATTTTTAAAATAAATATTTTAACTAATAATGACGTATAATAATCTAAACTGCACTAGTGTTATAAGTTGATATTTTTGTAAAAAAAATGTAAAAAATAGGATATGATGTTTCCTTTAAAGTCAGCCCAAGCCCAACCAAAGCCCAAGCTTCCCCATATAATCTCCGCCCCCACCCCCGCCCCCTAAAGAGTAAGTACAGAGCCTGGAGTTGAACTCACCACCCCCAATGGGAGGTTCAGGTAGAAGAAGAAAGTATATATGGGTTCTCTCATCGCACACATCACAATGGTCATCGTTGCCTCATCGATTGCTCCACGTGTTCTCATTTCCCAGTTCTGGCCATCACCGACCTCTTCGATTATTGACTCTTTGACCGTTTGATCCAATACGACAAAAGTAGGTAACTGTCACGATTTGTCGGCTACATACATAATGTAGTCATTTTTGGCTGCCTTTTAAATCGTTGACAAATTCAATTCAATGGGATAAAAGGAGCTACGTATGCACGTGATTGTCTTTGCATTATCTAAATGTGTGTTCATGACCCTCATCAACAGTCTCTTCACTTTAGTTTATCCACAACACAACTTCACTTTTACTTACAAATTACAATACCTTCTGTAATTTGGCTACCAATTTGAATCGTCATGTCGATCCTCCAAAAACCAGATGACATCAGAATCCTCCAAAAACCAGATGACATCAGAATCCTCCAAAAACTAGATCAGTTTAGAATTCCATTTGAAGATATAAAACAGGCAACCAACAATTTTGGTCCTGAAAATGTCATCGGACTGGGTGGTTACGGGATGGTGTACATGGGAGAGCTTATACACAAACACTCAAGAACGCCTATCAAGATTGCAGCAAAGCGGGTTGATCGGAGATTTAACCATGGAGTAACCCATTTCTTAAATGAGATCAAAGTGCTTTCTTCATACAAACATGTAAATATCGTCTCCTTTATTGGCTTCTGTGATGAACATGATGAGAAGATCCTTGTTGAGAAGTTCGTTGCATACGGAAGCCTGGATAACTATCTAAGTAGTGCAAAGCTGAATTGGATGAATCGCATCCAAATTTGCCTTGGTGCAGCTCATGGGTTGAATTATCTTCACAATGGTCTTGAAGGCCATAGTGTTCTTCACCGTGACATTAGGAGCAGAACCATTCTATTAGACACAAATTGGCAACCAAAGATAGGTGGTTTGGGCCTCTCCATGATGGATCCTATGCTTCAGATCATTAGTGATGGTTTTGGTGCAAATGGGTATGTGGATCCGATGTTCTTGAAAACTGGGATTATAACAAAAGAATCAGATGTATACTCCTTTGGGGTGGTGTTGTTTGAAGTCTTATGTGGAAGATTAGTATATGAGACAAGTGAAGATGAGAAACAATTTCTGGGTCCATTGGCTTGTGAGCGCTATGAGGAGGGGAAATTGAATGAGATCATAGATCCCATTCTAAGGGAACAGATGAACCTGGATTCCTTAGAGGCTTTTTCAGCTATTGCATATCAATGTGTGGCAAACAGTCGATGGCAACGCCCATCAATGATTCAAATTGTGCAAAAACTTGAACAAGTCTTGAGACTTCAACAGGAATTTGAGAATGCATTGGCTCTTCAACAAGTAAGTTGCATTTATTCATTTATTCATCACAATCTTAGGTTCACATTGTGCCCACCAATATTTATCTGTCCTAGTCATCAGTTCACATCTTTAATTGATCTTATTTGTGTATGGCTGGTGTAAATGTTAGGTTGCACAAAGTTTGAAAGGAAAACCAGAAGACGAAGATTGCTACAAGGTAATGAAACTTATGATTCTATATACAATGGCAGGAACTCCTGGAAAATTTGTTCAAATGTTGTATATGAAACATACACACATGCATGCATACATACAAACATACAAGAGCATATAACTTTTTCATGACAATTGTGCAGGTGAAAAACTTGGAACACATGAAAATTCCATTAGAACAGATAAAGTTAGCAACTCGTGATTTTCATGATGATTTTCTAATAGGACGTGGTGGATATGGGAAAGTGTATAAAGCAGATCTCTTCCATTTTGATGTACAAAAATACATCAAAGAAAACGTATATCGCGAAGTTTCTATGATTGAACTCTCAGGCTTCGAAAGAAGAAAAAGCACAGTTGCCATTAAGCGATTAGATCGTAGATACGGACAAGGAACTGCAGAGTTCCTACAAGAAATCTCAGTGCTTCCTTATTTTAAGCACCAAAATCTTGTCAAACTTGTTGGCTTCTGTGATGAAGGTCATGAGCGTATTCTTATCTCAGAGTATGCCTCAAATGGAAGCCTTGATAAGTATGTTTGTAGGAACAATCATACATGGGCACAACGTCTTCAAATTTGTCTTGATGCTGCACATGGACTTGAATTTCTTCATAACGGTGTTGGAGAGTATCATAGGATTATACACCGTGATATAAAGAGCTCAAACATTTTGTTGGATCGAAATTGGGTGGGGAAGATCAGTGACTTTGGGTTATCAAGAATCGGGCCTGCTAATTTACAAGCCACCTTTGTAATGACTCAAGTTGCAGGAACACTTGAGTATGTTGATCCACAATATCACAAGACAGGTATGTTAACAAAGGGGTCAGATGTGTATTCATTTGGAGTGGTTTTAGTTGAAATATTAAGTGGAAGGTTGGCTTATTTTCCAAGATCCAAAGATGACCCAGAATTTTTACCCCACATGGCTAAACGTTGCTTCGAACAGAATAAGATCATTGAGATTCTTGATCCTAAGTTAAAGAAAGAATTTGAAAAAGGTTCTTCTTCCACTTTTGATGACGAAATCTGTCCGGATTCAGTAGTTATATTTGCAATAATTGCATATAAATGCTTGCAAGAAAATCGAGATGATCGCCCATCAATGCCTGAAGTGGTGGAAGAACTTGAAAAAGCATTAAAATCTCATGTAAAAGGGGTGGAGAGGCTAAGAACTTCTCTTGATGCAATTAGATTTGCTACAAATGACTTTAGTGATGTAACGGAGCAAGGAGTACATCACACTGTGTATAGAGGAGAACTTTCTCATTCCAAGGGACACCATGCTGTTATTGTAAAGCGGCTTAATCCTATAGTTACTTCAAATGGAAACCAATTTTATAAAGAGATCACAATGCTTTATAGTTATAGCCACAAGAATATCATTCCTCTTTTAGGATTTTGTGAAGAGGCAGGTGAGAGGATTGTTGTTTTTGAGCATATGGTTAATGGAAGTCTGAAAAGGCATGTGAAAAACACAAGTCTAACATGGAAACAACGCCTAAAGATATGCATTGATGCTGCACATGGGCTAGCTCACATTCATAGTGGTGCTGATACCCAATATTCAGTTCATGGAGACATAAAAAGCAGTATCATTCTACTAAATCATGACTGGAAAGCTGTTATTTCTGATTTTATCATACCCAAAGGTGTAGGGACATTAGGTTATTATGATCCACTATATGCAACCACAGGCAATTTAACCCAGAAATCGGATGTCTATTCGTTTGGTGTGGTTTTATTTGAAATCTTATCAGGGAGATTGGCAATTGAAACACAAAATATTGATAAGAAACAGTCACTCCATGGAGGTGAAGATGATCGAGTGATATTTCTTTCACAGTTGGCTGCACAATGCTTCCAAAACAAACGATTGGAAGATATTATCTTTCATGATATGAAGGGAAAAATTGATGTGAAATCTTTAGTTGTTTTTTCAACAATTGCCTATGAATGTTTGCAAGAAAGGCTAGAGGAACGTCCAACAATGGCTGAGGTTGTAAAAGAACTTGAGAAAGCCTTCGAATGTCAAGTAAGTTCCTTCATTTTCATGATGAAATTTTGTTCATGATCAAGTCCAAGCTTTAACTGTTTGTAGTTCTGATGTGTTAATGTTTCACCTATACACAGGATGAGTGGGAATGGGAGCAAAAGCTGCCTAGAGATTATGAGAAAATAATCCATGTGTCCAATTATCTGGTATCAAATATAAGCTCCAAGAAGGATCTCCATTCCCTCCTTTCTTCAGGAATTCTCATTCCCAATGAAAAACTGGTGATTCAATCTTAACCATTTCTGTTGTATGCGATCCATAAACAATCAACTTTCTCTCTCATTCTTTTACCACTTTTGATGGTCTTATTTTGTAACAGTGGTTTTCAATAAGCATGGATGGAGTGAAAAATGTAGTGATCTCAGCGACAAAGTTTTCTTACAAAAATGTGAAGTGGAGATCTATACGAAAATCAAGGTCTCTCTTTTTCTCATTCATGAGGTTCCGACTTTATTTCATTTCCTATGAAGAGGTTAATTGCAGTTGAACATTCGATCAATACACTTATTATAATATAGGGTCTTTAATGTTGTAATATATCTGTGTAGGTTTGCAAAGGTTGCAAAGATACCAGATCTCTCAAATCTCAACATCCGAATCAACATAAAAACTCAATTTTTAACCCCTGGGGTCATGTATAGAGCTTACCTAGTGTTCAAGTTTTGTGATCGAAGAAAGGTTTCTAGTCGACCATTATATGTGAACCTAAAATACAAGAAGTCAGATGAAACTTTAAATGCATATTTTGCAGAGTGGAAAACTGGAAGCAATTGGCTTACAATTGAACTGTTTCGATTTTGGAATAATGATAAGGAAAGTGCGATTGAATTTGATGTTCTTTTAGAGAGCTTTTCTCGTTATCATTGTGGAAGTGGGGGAATCTTTGTTGAAGGCATAGAGTTTCAGGCCATTCACCATGTAAGTCAAAGAATGTGTGCATCGTGCATGTATGTATGTATGTATATGTATGTAAGGAGAAGATGAACAAATTATATGCTATATTGACATAGTCATGCCATTGTATGCAGGTGGATACTAATAGTAATGAAGAATTAAATTATGAAAGAAACATAGGACCCTTGAAACCAATGTCAAACATGGATTTGGTTGAACAAATGACAATTGATTATTGTCAAGAAATAATCAACCGGTCTGAAAACAATATCCGAAGCTCCTCCAAAGAGGAGCTCCACAACCTTCTTTTCAAAGGAATTCTTATTGACAAGGGTGAAAAGGTTTGATTCTTTTTTTGTTTTTAATTTACCGAAAGTAGGGAACACCACAAATTTTGATCATATATATATATATATATATATATATATATATATATATATATATATATATATATATATATATATATGTATTATATATAAAATTCTTCCGGTTGGATAATGCAAATTTGAAACTCTATGATGAACAGATATTTTCACTAAGCAAAGAGAACCGGAAGAAATGCCATATGCTACCCGCAAAAGCTGTTATATATGACCATTCAGATGTGAAGTCCTACAAAATAAAACTTGAAGCCCAATTCAGGTTTGCTTTTTGAGTCAAATATCATAAACTCATCTTTATTTGATCTTTGACGGAATGATGCAATTACATGATGACTTAATATATAGGTGCAGATTTGGAGAATATGTTGAGATTCTCTCTTGCCATGAATTACATATCAAATGTGACATTGAAACACAAATGCTCTCATCAGATACGGCCTATGCTTGTTTCCTTGTGTTCAAGCTTTCAGAAAATTGTGGTGGGCTCAAATGTCCAGTGAAAGCAAGGGATTTACTACCTTACAAAAAGGAAAGAACCAAAATTATTTCTTTCAGATCCCCAAACATAGTGGACTTGGATAAAATTAAATGGATTCCAAAACAGAGGGAAGATGGGTGGATGGAGGTCATAGTGTGGGAAACCATCTCTGATGATTCTGATTCTATTCCTATGGATTTGAAACTCATAAGTTTTGAAGGTACCATGGCTGGTCTCATGGTTTGTGGCATTGAGTTTCGTCCAATATAGAACACAATTTATGTAACAACATTTTTTTATTCATTTCTTACTATTACTATTGTATCAACCAACACTCTAATTGCTCTAATTGTGCATGGGTCTTTAAGAGATCATTTTTTTTGTCGTTTGAATTTGATTACATATCAGTATAAGACAAGATTTTTTTTTTTTATGGAACTACAAGTCATAGAACTACAATATCCAAAATAAGACCAGAAAGAAAAAGAATGAAAAGAGTATACCAACGTTTCCTAACATAAAAAGAAGGAAAAGGTTAATTTTGCCCACCAACTTTCCATATTTTTCCAGAATGGTTAAGAAAATATTGTTCTTGCAGTAAATTGGTTCAACAACTCCATTCATGGAAAGCTTACATTTGCATATACACTCCTATCAATTGATTCAGATTTGTGATTTGTCTTAAAATGGTTCACTCAGGCATGATTCTGGGTGATGATCCCTAATTATGGATGAATCACCTACATACAAGTCCCTCAAAACTCACTGATTTTTGCATTTTGTACTGATTGAAGTGGTGTAACAAATATTTTGTTTTTAAGATTAAATACAAGGATAGGATAGTCACAGATTGAGTTCCAATAAGCCACGGATATATTTATCAGGTTCCAAGTTAAACAAACAAACAACAATGATCTGATTGTAAGAAACTATGAAAAACTGACTTGATTAAACAAACAACAAACAGTGGCTTATAGCATATAATTAAACCAGTGAACCGATGTATGAATCATGAAGAAGGTGAAAGCGGGGCCACAAGAGGACTGCAGCCATAAGCAATTGAAATTTCACAAATTAAAATCATTCAAAAGATCTCTACAAGCATGAAGGATTTCCAGAGTTTGACATATGCAAACTAACTTAGCTTATATCTTTTAATTAAGCTGCTGAGGGAAGAATATCCAAAGCAACCTCCTTGAGGGTTGGCATCTCTTCCTGTTGATGCACACACACATATCGACTTCCCAATCTCCTTAGCACTTTCCATGGGCCAGGGTAACACCTAATTGGATTTTTATAATAAAAAAATGTGCTTCAGGGTGATGAAAAACAACAAGTAATCAATTATATAATTTGAAGGTTTTGTAAGGAATCTCTATTGTGGGCCAAGATATTATCATTTGCTGCAAACCTGAAAAGGGCTCCCCCATTGCGACCTTTGAAATTATGGATGTAATACACAGTTTCCATCACAGGAAAAAGAGTCTTGGAAAGTTGAGCAAGTTTTGGATAGAAGAATGATGGGTAATCTTGTTTTTAATCTCAAGGACAACAACAGCAACAAAAAAAAATAGTTATCAATCTTCTAAGCTAGTAAGCTTTTAAGAAATAACCCTAAGAATTAGAAAGCCAAGGATACAGCCTGATCTGATACGATCAAGTTCCCCATTGAATATGATCATCTGCCTAGCAGTGGATGCCACTGCTTCCCTGTAAAGCTCTTCCACAACAAGCATTTCTGTGTTCAAAAATTATGGCAGCTTAAAATACCTTCTGCTAAAAAAGCAGCTAAATTTACAATGGAAGAAAAATAAAATACCATTGACATTGAAATAAGGATAGCCGACTATAAACAGTTCATCTTCTTCCTTAACACGATCAACCATTTTAACCTTTTCAACAATACCAAAATCTTGAAAAAATGAGGGCTTTGTTAGATAATCCAACTTGAAAGAAGCACCTCCGAATACTGATTTTCTTGCAAATTGAACTTCATTAGCCTCTGGGAAAAACTGCAAGTTTTGGTGCATCAGTTTCCAACGTATATATATAATAAAATATGGTGAAACAGATATTAGAATTACATAGACTGTTTATTTACATACTATTCTGGTTTTTGTAGCCTTTTCTGGTACTACAAGAAGGTCACAAAATTCACGAATCAATTGCATACTTCCAGTCATTTCAATACCACCTTCACCATCGCCTAACATATATAATTTAAGCTCAATAGTCACACTAATGGACATGAATTGAAAATTAAATAATAAAAAAATACAAAGAGGAGCTGTTGAATAAGAAAAAACCTGGCACGGATTCCAGCCCAGCAGTTGGAAACTCAATCTCCTGAGGTTGAAAGTTGTGGAGTACAAACTCTATAGAAACTATAGACATGTAATTTTTTGCATCTTCCATCCATAAATAAGAATAAGTAATGAACTAACTCACCATCAACTGTATTCCATCATTCAAAGCTACCTGAGTTGCTTCTTTTGCCTGTTAATCGCAGATTTAAATTCAAATTCTAGATACTAAATTGTTGTTATGGATCTATGTCAAAAAAACAAACAAATTTCAAGCACTATTGTTCAAATCCATCATTCCAACCTGATCAAGAAGTTCTTCATAATCACCAGGAAACGGCACATCAAACGGAATCGAAGAAGAAACTGACCTAACACCAAACTCAACATCTCTACCAATCTTGTTCATCGCCACTCTTCTTGAGCCCCCGAAGTTCGAATTCAAATTCACCTGCAAGTTAGCTTCTAAAGTTTAGCTTATTTATCCAATATGCTCCAACTTACTTATCGACAATCTATAAAATCAAAAGCGGAGATGAAAATGCCCTAGAATGGCTAAGTTAGTAGATAAAATCGCCTGGTTTTGTGCATTACGGGGAAATTAGGAACAATCAAGAGGATATGTGGACAGGATGAACATTGATGTACCTGCTTGTGTTGAAGAACAGAAGGGACAGCAGTTGGTAAGCTGAATGCAGTTGGGATAGTGGATAACGGCATTTTGAAACCAAGAAAATTTGTGGGTAAGGAAGAGGTCTACAAAGGGCCGCTGAACCGAGTTTTTCCAGCTCAGTAGTTCAAATACGAACGGTCCGGAAACCTATTAAACCGGATGTTTGCTCTGGTCTTCGGGCGGCTGATGGTATTCATTTTATATTTTTATTTGTTCAAAGGTTCAAATCTTTAAAAAGTCAGAGAGTTTGTCATTATTATATATATATATATATATATTAAAGTTGTGGAAGAAAGAAATAGTAAAGTTGGGATATTTTGTCCAGGTTTTGTCCTTTTGTTTGTGTTCCATTAAACTTCCTATTTTTTTGGCAGAATTGGTCCCTGTATTATTGTTGGAAGTTAGGAATACTAAATTTGGATGTTTTTTGGCAACTTTGGTAATTATTCTTTACCCATTTTCACACTTTTGGTCCTTGCAATCAATATTTTTACACTTTTTTGGAACCTTTTAATATTTAAAGTTTGGCCACAAAACTTTAACGGTTTGACAACTTTGATCCCTTTTCTAAAAAGTTGCTAATTCCTACCCCTTTAATTCTTTAGCCATTTTCACACTTCTGGTCCTTGCAGTCAAAACTTTTACATTTTTTGTCCGGGGCAAAGCTCGGACTTTTCATCCTTGCACTTTCTATGTCTGTCATATTTATCAATTCGGAAACAACATTGAAAGCTTCTGGCCCCCGCGTAGCGGGGGTAACCTTTCTAGTTTTTAATAATTTTTGTTGTGTTTTTGGTTTCTCTTCCCTTAATTTTAACAGCTTGATTGTTAATAATTTTTAAAATGATTATTTTATCCTTATGGATCATTTCTGCAGCCAAACTACAATGACCATTTCTACATATCTTCTTTTTATTTTTATTGAATTATTTTATATTAATAAATGTTATTTTTAATATGTACTATTTATATATTAATAAATATTGTTTTATTAGATTATTAATTTTTTTAATTTATTTGTTATTGGATATATTAGTTGAGCTATTATATATGAATAAATATTATTTCTAATATATAATATTTATATATTAATCAATATTATTATATTGGATTATTAATTTATTTTAGCTAATTTTGTTTATTGGAGTAATACTTTTTTTATTGGATTATTATATATTAACAAATATTATTTTGAATTTATTATATTTATATCCTAATAAATATTACATTATCAGATTATTATTTTATTTTAGTTAATTTTTTTAATTCCTTTTTTTGGATTAATTCTTTTTTATTGGAATATTACTTTTAATTTATTATTTTCTTTATATAATAAATATTATTTATTATATTATTAATTTATTTTTATTGTATAATATTAATTCTTTTTAATTTTATTAGTTCCACCACAAAGTTATTGGAATACACAAAAGTGTCGCCTCTAATCAACGAGAAGTCGGGATCACCGTCAAACACCTTCATCGGAGGTCCGACGTAAACCCTACTAACTTTTTCCACCCAAAATTATCGGTAGCTACCTGCGACAACCTCTTCACAATCCGTTGGAATCCTCCATATCCCACACAATGCGCAACAAACTCCTATAAACATTAAAAGTGGTGGTGGTGGTGATCGGGTGATGGTAGTGGTGTTATCGTAGGTGACTACCGTCATTATTGGTTGGAAAAGGTTGGTGGGTTTTTGTCCGACCTCCGATGAAACTACAAGGATGACGGTAGTCACCTGCAATAACACCAATACCATGACCCGATCACCACCACCAGTTTTAATGTTTATAGGAGTTTGTTGCGCATTGAAATGTGAGGTTTAGACTAAGCCTCAAAATTTCAGTCATTCAGAATAAGCGTGTTAGTGGGATCAGGTGGTGGCTTCTTTTGAAAAAGGAGGTCTTAGTTTAGGTAAACTTAACGCTTTTAACAATGCTTTAATCCAAAAATGGAGGTGGAGGTTCGTTACTGAATGCCAAGCATCTTGGGTCAGATTAATGAAAGTTATCTATGGTAGTGATGAAGCTTTAGGTTCGTCCAGGAGTAGTTATACGGGTAGTGCATGGTCAAAAATTATAGCTGCTATTCGCAAAATGAATTCCTCTAATTTGATTCCATTTGACACACTAGATAAGAGATTGGGAAGAGGGAACTCTATTCTATTTTGCCATGATGTATAGATTGGGCAGCCCTTTAATGTTGTGGTTTCATAAGTTGTTTAGACTTGACCTTGATCCTGATTGTTTGGTTTATGATCGTTGGATTCAAGGGAATTGGCGGTGGAATTGGCACAGACATGTTCGTGGTGGTTGTGAGCAAGAGAAACTAAATGATTTTGAGTTGTTATTACTTGATGTTGTGGTGTCAGATAATCCTAACTGATTTTGGTG